CAGTATTACTAAACATGGGCACAGTGGTCAACGCAACTAAGCAATGCATCCGAGCCACTTCAGTTCGATTCCTAGCCAAGGCTCAGATGAGCGGCAAGTGAAACCAGTACCGATCCTGCCTCTGTTCACAAACCCGCAATAAACCAGCGTGCTCAACTGCCGCATCGTCAAACAACATCCACGACCTGCGCGGCGTTAGGAGGAGGCCCTCATCCAGCAGTGGATTGACAGGAATGGCCTGGACGTGTGTACATTGCGCGTGTTACAAGCGTAATCGACAGCTGCTGCAATGTGCACCAGCGCGGGTATGCGTTCTCGCTTCAGGCGTCATTATGCAGCCTCCTGTTTCTGTATAGCAGCTCATGAATCAATCTATTGCATAACGTCAAACTAACAATCACGACCATCGCCTTCTTCCCTCCATCATCCCGCATCAGCAGCAGCTACAATATGATCCACGGTCCGACCGCCACCCAACCATCGATCGCTGCTCAGCCGGTGCTTAATTCCAGCCGGCTCAGTCATTTCGGCACCCAGCCACATCCATCTCGTCCTGATTTTGTCCTCAAGATACTTGCGGTGTTCCTCATAGGATCACAGGGATGTAGGGTATAACAACGGAGGATTGGTATGGACGTACAAGTGCATGGCCTGCACCCCGTCCGCACTGACCCTTTTGAGTTGTTCGCCCTTTGTAAAAGTGGGGTTTATTTTAATCTCTGATTTCAATCCAAGTGTAAACCACTCACGAGTGAAATTGGCCAAGCACCCCGTTGTGGCCGGACCCTCCTCCCAGAGACTCCGGGAGGCATCCCTGGAGGAACGATTTCTTAAACGCCTTGCGGCCAAGATGGAAAGCATCCTGTCCACGTTTTTCAAAGGGGTGCCCAAACATTGGAGACACACACAAGATTAAAAACAAATGAATATTTGCAAATATGCAAACCCATCCCCCCCACCTTGCAGATGTAAATATTTTCGAAGACAAACGTGTTAGAAAGCGTTACGTAATAGCCCATGCCTCCGATAGAGGGTTCACACATTCTTCTCTTCTTTCAAGAGGGTCGATAACATGGGCACTCCCCCTTGGTGGTGGAAACCAACAGTGATTCATCTGTAGAGTGACTCGCCAAAGGAACGTGGAATTTCCACCAATAGTTCTGCGCTGTAAGCAGGAGGCGAGCTAAGCGCCGCTAAGCCACTATGAAATATTTGAAAGAGGGCATCAGAGGGCAGGGCAGAACATTCCATTGATGTACTGTATTTCTATGCTCCTAGGACTATGCATACAGTACAAAGACAAAGACCCCTCGCATAGCCTTGAATAGACTTGTCGGGGCAAGTGCTGTTAGCGAGCACCTATGAAGGCCGGCACAGCACACGAGGGGGTGTGTGGCCAGCACCACGCCCGGGCCCCGTTGTCTCCCCAGTGTTCATGAACGCACATGGCACCAGGTACTAATTTAAGACTGAGTCGACCTAAGGGAGGCCCAGGAACCGATTCAAATATTCGCCACTTTTTTGGGGTCTTAAGCAGGAATCGAACTCGGGTCTCCGGGTACGTCGTGCAGGGCGCTATCCACTGCACTGCACTATCGCTCCCCACACAAACACAACAATGGCTACTCGCCACTCAGTGGCGGTGATGTCACCACAGCACTTGTGCCAGGCTTGGTGCACTTTGAGGCCACGTAGTGTCGAAGGTCACGGGACAAACCCAGGTGTCATGTTTTGACCGACTGAGATGACTGGCAGATGCACCACCTGTGTTCCCTACGATGCCAGCTCGCTGTGTTTTATCCGCCTGGCGCTCCGCTCGTTGTTGTGAGCATCGCTCCTCTGCCCTCCGTTCTTGCTCGAGGGCGACTAGCCTCCAACTGCCTAGTGGCAGCGTCCTTCACGAGCCTCCTCCACAAATGCCGATCTTGACACCGCTGGTAGCGGTCATCGGCAAGTCCAGTCAGCTCCACATCCTCTTGGACCGCATCAGCCCCATCTCTTCTCTAGGCCGTGCCAGGCCCGTTCATCCCCCTCTAGCCGGCCAAACAGAAACTGCTTGGGCATGCGGTGGCCAGGCACGCACACACACGGGTGCAGCACGTGTCACGCGCCCTTCACAGCAAGGGCGCGAACCTCATTAGCTCAGCACAGCCACGCACCTGGTCTGCCAGGGCAAGCTGCAACACACGTGCTGGTAAACGTGCAGCGCGTTTGAGCCATAAGAGTGTTTTTTTAATGCATCCATTGCTGAATGGAGGGGCCTCCCCTCAGGACATGTCTGTCTAGCGGTCATTGGGATTCGTAAGACCCTAGCTTCAACTCGCTGGTCAGTGCGAATTGGTTTAAAGCGGGCCCGAAGGCTGGGAGTCACGGAGTCAGAACTCACGTGCTGTGTCTGGCAAGTGGCACTCTGGAGATTTTAAACAAAAAATGTGAAGTTTTAAAATAAAACTTTCCCACCGTCGTCATCGACACTGCTTCACGGCGGTAAATAGCCGGGCAAGCAGGTGGCAGTGAATCGAAAGTTGTTAGTGAAGAGGGCACAAGGGAGAAAGCATGGAGGGGAAGGGCAACATCGTGTGTGATGATCCTCGTGCCCGGGGCAGCCAGCAGAAGCTGCATGGGTTCGGGTGACGGTGCCTCGATTAGAGCCCCTCTTTTAAAAACACCACGATAACGTTTTGTCCAATGGCACCTTGTTCCCCGTGGTGGCACGCATTGCTTGCCCGACACGTTACCACTGCCTTTAACGGCCTGCCGTGGGGGAAGCGTTGTGAGTAAACACCCGTCTTCCCAGTGATGATTGTTAGCACACCGCACCAGGTACTCATATGAGGCTGAGTCGACCAAGGGGAGGCCCAGGACCGGTTCAGATATTCGCAACTGTCATTGGGTCGTGGGCGGGAATTGAACTCGGGTGGCCAGATTCGTGCACTGCAGCAGTGCACGAATCACTCCCCCACCGCTCCCCAAACATACACACAGACATACGTACACACACTAATATTCTATACAAAGGCAACGATCCCCCGTATAGCCTTAACAGACTGTAGGGGCAAGTGCTGTGTGCGAGCACCTATAAAGGCCGGCACGGCACACGAGGGGGTGGGTGGCCAACACCACGCCCGACCGCCTTTGTCTCCCCAGTGGCGATGTTTACACATCGCACCAGGTGCTCATTTGAGGCTGAGTCGACCTAGGGGATGCCCAGGACCGGTTCAGATAATCGTCACCGTGCTAACCGCTACACCACCGCTCCCCATGTACTATATTGCACACAGACACACGCAGACCTACAAACACAAGCACGCAAACACAGACACGCGTAAACACACGAAGATACACAAAGGCGCACACAAACAAACACAGGCAAGCACTGCAGACACGTGCATACACGCAGACACATACACAACAAAGACAAATATACCCCGTATAGACTGAGCATGCTTTTGGGACAAGTGCCTTTCGCGAGCACCTATGAAGGCCGACACGGCACACGAGGGAGTGGTGGCCAGCACTACACACACACGCAGACACACACACACACCACACACACAACACACACATATACAGCACACACCACATACACATATACAACACCACACACAACACACACACACCACACACACAACACACATATATACAGCACACACAACACACGCATATACCGCACACACCACACAACACACACATATACAGCACACACCACACAACACACACATATACAGCACACACCACACACACAACACACATATACAGCACACACCACACGCACAACACACACATATACAGCACACACCACACACGCAACACACATATACAGCACACACCACACGCACAACACACACATATACAGCACACACCACACATGCAACACACATATACAGCACACACCACACGCACAACACACACACATATACAGCACACACCACACACGCAACACACATATACAGCACACACCACACACACAACACACACACACACCTACTACACAACACAGACACACACACACACCTACTAAACAACACAGACACACAACACACACCTACTATACAACACAGACACACAACACACACCTACTACACAACACACACACAACATAGACACACAACGCATACCTACTATACAACACAGACACACAACACACACCTACTACACAACACACATACACCTACTACACAACACAGACACACACACACCTACTACACAACACAGACACACACACCTACTACACAACAGACACACACACCTACTGCACACACAGACACACAACACACACACACCTACTGCACACACAGACACACAATACAGACACACCACTGTACACCTACTACACAACACAGACACACAACACAGTACACCTACTGCACACACAGACACACAACACAGACACACACCTACTACACAACACAGACACACACACCTACTGCACACACAGACACACAACACAGACACACACCTACTACACAACACAGACACACAACACACACACAACACAGACACACCTACTACACAACACAGACACACAACACACACACACCTACTACACAACACAGACACACAACACACACACCTACTACACAACACAGACACACAACACAGACACACACCTACTACACAACACAGACACACAACACAGACACACCTACTACACAACACAGACACACACCTATTACACAACACAGACACATAACACACACACAACACAGACACACCTACTACACAACACAGACACACCTACTACACAACACAGACACACAACACACACACACAACACAGACACACCTACTACACAACACAGACACACAAGGGTCGTCCGGACACTGCCCCACCCGCGTCACCACGCGCCCTGTGAACCACAGATTAGGGGCTGGCAGCGAATAGTCGACTTTGTACCGCGCTCACAGCGTGTCGAGAGAAAGAGGATTATGATGATGATGATGGTGATGAGGAGGAGGAGGAGGGGGTGGGAAAGTGGGTGGGGGAGGGGTGCCTCTCACCTGGCGACGAAGTGGGGACGCGGGAACTGTGCCTGGCCCACGCGTCACGGCCAGGTGTGTTGCCCGCTCAGGTGAGTTGCTCTCCCAGGTGAAGTTGCCTTCCCAGGTGAAGTTGCCCGCTCAGGTGGGTTGCTCACTTGCAGCCACCTATATATAATACCTTCACCAGCTCTGGCTACGCAGAAGCCTCAGCAGACGCCGAACCTCCAAAACTGCTCTCCGCGCACAGAATATACAAACTACACCACCACCACCGCCAGCTACACGCACCAGCTCGCTCCCCTTGCCTATGATGGACCCAACTGCTTATCGGCGGTGACAGCAGAGCCGGAGCTCGCCCATCGCCACCTGTGGCGCGTTGCGAACCCTCCGCCTGCAGGTGCGCGGTCTCAGTGGCGCTGCTGGCACGCGGCGGGGCGCGGAAGCGCGCACCTGTCGCTTGAGCTGCGTCAAGGACGCGCCTCCTGTCGCCTCCCTCGCCTCCCTCCCCGCTTCTCTCTCGCCTCCCTCCCCTGCCGACAGCCCTCGCGGTGCCCTCTCCCGGCTGATGATTCCGATTGCGCAACGATTGCGCAAAGAAAACAGAGTAAACAAAATCCACCTCCCCCCCCCCACACACACCGCCAACCCCCCCACACCCACAACCCCCCCCCACACCCAGCATTTGACGCGGTAATATCTTTGAAGGGCAAACATTCCTGGCATTTGACTTAAAGCGTAGGGTGTTCATAGCCAATGCGATGATCCATATTTATTTTTGGGTGAGGCCACGTGGTATTTTTATGCCAAAATGAACGCTCCACCGCACAAGTCACGATTACAACGGTAGTATTCTATGTTCGTGCCGATGCATTGGTCAAATTCTGGCCTACAAAGCTTCTCACCGTAGCCTTAGACTTTCATGGCTGAATTTCATACTCGTGGCACTGCGAGGATTCAGCTGGCGTTATTGACACTGCCTTATGAAAAAATGAGTCCCGTAGTTAGTTGACGTTTCAGGCAATGGCTCTTTCACTATTGGCAAGGAGGGTCGGCAGACAACCAGCGTGTGTGAGGAGCCACATTGCGGTGTGCAGCACCCTGGCCGGAGTAGACTGAGTTCGAGATGGATGTCACCCTGGAAGAGGCGAAGGATAGCAGCACACGGAGACAGAAAACCAGAGCAGTCGATCCCATGCAATAGTGGAACTGTTGGCTTAGAAGACCGCGACATTTTCCAGGGGCATCAAGTCCGAGAGGTCTGGGATCGTTTGAATGCTTCTCCAATTCCTGCTGTCTTGTGCATTGCAGGCCCCACTTTAATCGATCGGGGGAGATCGGCATCTAATGGACTGGGACTCAGCATCAGACACCTGCGTTGAGCAGCTGCCACCTGTAAATCCGTGAGCAACAACAGCTCACGGATTTACAGGTGGCAGCTGCCACTTTGAGCTTGAAACGCCCTCTCGTGGAGGTCGCACAAGGAGTCGCCACCTTTAAAAATGAGCCATTCGTAATTTTACTTTTTTTAAACAAGATTAAGAATATTGTTCTTAAATGGGCAATGTGGTTGAGCAATAGCAGTCGTTCGGTTCATGTGCCGTGGATGAACCAGGACAATCAAAGTTGGATTCCTGGCCACAGCTATTATCAGTGGCAAGCGATATCTGAAGTGGTCCTGGGCTCCCCCTTTAATCAGTCTAGCGTGGTGGCTCAAACAACCACCATGACAGACATATTGTGCACATGCCTTTATTGAGCAAAGGAAAATTGGTCTCAAATGACTTCATTGGTAAATACACGGCAATATCGCTACCTATTGGCAGAATAGCAATATGAAGGTAGGTGGTGCGTACAACTTGTGCAGTATAGTGACAACTGCAGGGAAATGGAATGGTTGACATGTGATGCGATGGAAGGTGCTTTTGAGATTCCAGGGAAATTAAGTGCCATATACGTGCAAATCCTCATCCTTAATTATTAAATAAATAAGCAATCGCAAATGCAATACAGCACATGCCATTCATTGCAACCGGGGACTATCAATTCCACACATCTCTCACATCTCACAAAGGTTCCTTTTTTTATCTGCAGGTCGCAATTGACACAATACTTTATTTGAAAGCATCTTTAATGGAAACATTTTTTTTTATTTTCACAATTAGAGAACAGCCCCAGCAGCAGAACGCTGGGATGCAGGTTCAGTTACGTCCTCCGATGTTGCCTCTGTCCTAAGATAGCGATTCATGACAACCAGATTTCCAGACGCAAGAACTTTATATACAATTATAAATTTTCAGAAAAATAGTCTTTAGTGCTTTTTTTCTACGACCAATACATTCCTCGATATTTTTGGGGATTTTCTCATTTTCCTTCATCCAGGCGATTTCACCACAGACGGGACATTAGAAACGGACACACGTTCATCATTGCCGTCAAGTACCCAGCACCGACGCCACCTCCCTGACTACAAGTTCACCTGAAAGTTGTTCTGAAGCTTCTGATATAACACGCAGAAACCCCTGGCATTATAATTTATATCACAATGGCGTGGAACCAAACACCACAAAAAGTTACAAGGTGCAATTTTCATTCATAATATAAAAATACATTTCTCGTTCATAGCTGCTGGTTCAATGACAAGCCGCACGCTCTTAGGACTTTAAATGCAGTCGGTGTGGTCCGTGACCACCAAACTCTTGCTCGCACACTTTCATTCCCCTACCCATTGCCCTCTGCTCCCTCTCTTCTACCAAAACATCTCTCGCTTTGCTGATGCAGGGGGGGCGTGGAGGGCATTGCTGGGTGGATTGCCCTTACTCTTCGTGGATGTTGAACAACTTCGCCACTTCGTTCAAATCCTCATGCACTTGCCCATCCTTGATGATCTGCAGAAGCGACACAAGGGAGAGGGGGAGGATAGGAAACATTCTCGCAAAAAGGATGTCACCACCGCGTGCCAGGACAAAGGCACTGACAAAATTCATCGCATAATAACTTCTCGAGTCTATTAAATCGCCTCTTTATCCACTTTAGGGGCACACCTTAAATATGGCATGCAAAGAGTGTTCATCCCATGGAGATGAAGCTGAAATATGAATTTCTCATTGGCGAAATATGCCAAGGTACAAGAAAACAGACAAATTTAATTGTTTCCTTTTTAGTGTAGTCATTGATGAATGGGCTAGAGCTATCAACTCACTACATTTGAGAAGCCAGTTTAATCACCGGCAGCTACCCAGCATATCAGCGGTGTGTGCTCAGTGCTCTGTGGATGGACGGACGATCTGAACACTCCATAATCCAGTGCGTAGGTGTTGAAATAAATAAATAAACTGGCATCACCGAAGCTGGGTTTATTGTTAACATCGATTACCGTCTCGTTTAATGTTTGTCCTGAACAATTTGGAATTTGACCCGGTGATGCACACCCACCTTGCGCGCGATTGGCATGCGATTGAAGATGTTCCACAGCACGATGCCAACGACCACGTCTCCGCGCAGGTAGAACACCACGCCCTTGCCGTAGTCGTCGCCCGCCTGTGGGGGCTGGGGCACGGCGGGCTTGGGGGTGGCGGCCGAGGGGGCAGCGGTCGCCGTTGGCTTGAGGCTCGTGGCCACAGCTTCTGTCTCGCTCTCCGAGCGAATGTTCGTGCCTGGTAGGGGGGAGAGGGGGGATCAGAAATACAAACGGGACTCGAGTGTGTGCGTAAACGTGAGAAGAGTGCCGAGCTCAAGGGCACGAGCCTTCCGAGGTCTCATCGTCAACCTTGATCTACCCGCTGCTGGAAGGTTTCCCACAAGTCATTGCCATCGCTCACGGTCTCGTGAAGCAACAACCCATCCAGCTTCTACACACGAAGCGACTGAATCGCTCCATCTCCATGGTGGACATCCTCTTGGGCACGTTTCCCTCGCTTGGCCGTCAGTCTCGACCACCGTTCATCATCCCTTCAAGTGATGCGCCGTGCTCAAGCCAATTTCTTAAAAGGCAACACGATACCTTTAAGTTTGAAAATATTTACCTATTCCCTGTTTTGCACTTCCTGTCTCTTAGGGTAATTCCAAGCATGCACCTCTACATGCCTCACGTACTTTTCAGTTTTTGTTCCATATCTTTTATCAATGTCAAAGTTTCTGATTCATGGCATACAATCTTAAGTTACTTTAACTTTCTCGGGACTTGGATTCACCACGCCTGACCGCCTTTGTTCCCCCAGTGGCGATGTTCACACACCACACCAGTTACGCGTTTGAGGCTGAGGCTGAGTCGACCTCGGGGAGGTCCAGGAGCGGTTGAAATAATCGTCACCGGTGGTGGCCGTGAGCGGGAATCGAACTCGGGTCGCAGGGTTCATAGCGCAGCGCGCTAACCACTACACTACAATGCGTTACTCTTCCACATGTGCAGGTCACATGACAGATTTGACGTCACAGCTCACTTGCCATGCAAAAAATATATGCATTATTGAACTCCCCCCCCCCCCCCCAAAAAAGTGTATTTTTATAATTTTTGCATGGTGTAGTCTGGAAAGTACCCACATGGCAAATTTCAAGTTTGTTGCATGTCGGGAAGTACGCTAAACATTTTGAACAGACACACATTCACAACTTTGCCTTTTATATATATGGAGATGAACTATAAATCAGTTACAAAAAGCACATCACACTATCAGAAAACAAGACTTCTAACCGTATTCGGGAGTAAGAGCAACTTTTTAGAAAATTCTCATTGGCAGCAACAGACAGATCCAGTAGGGAAATAGCAATTGGCACTTAGAGCGATCCTTTTTGTAAGGCCACCACCCAGTGAATGTGGCACAGCAGATGCATGAGTGATCATAAAACTGACAAGCATATTGCCACAGAGCATGAACAGTGATAAGCCATTTGTCTGTTGTCTGCATACCATACTATGGCTGTCTTCGCTGCTCTGAAGCTTTACATCTGATAAGAGACAATAGCCTGTCTTGGCATGTAATAAAGAAAATGACATTCTAGTTCATAAAGGAGTCGAAATAGATTTCAGGACCAATTTTTTCTCGCACGCTTTTGTTGAAGCCGGCAAGTTCTGAACCTGTTTAAATGTTCAGAGTATCACAGCGGCCAGGTGTGTTTTGTGCATCTGATACGTCTACTTTAAAATAAACACATCCAGTGAACCTTTTTATAATCTCATCTTAAACGTCTTCATGTCGTGTGTATTTGACGAAGAGCAAGTTGAGATCAGATTTCATGTGCTCTTTGTGAATAGTACCATAATCTCCTGACTAAAAGAAGCATCCTAAACGTTCAGGTCATTTTGAAAAAAAGTGTCTTTTAATTGGTATACTATGGTACGATAGGAGTTTAATATGATTGTAATATTTGAAGATGGGAGAGATGACTTCTGGAAGATGATTCTGAACGGCTGGTGGTGTCCAATGTGCTCTGGGTGGTCATGTATCAACTACGGAGAACCGTCTTTCGGACGATGGCTCCGGACAACAGATTAAAACACCTCCTCCAGAGACAAATGCATTTTATG